TTTTTTGAAAAAGTAACTATACTAACTTTTTTGAAAAAGTAACTATACAAAAAGTAACTATACTTCAAGTTGTATTTGAGATTCACGACAGTTTATACAATATTTATGTATATTTATTTGCTTATTTATTTCGTACATCTATACATCAATAAAATAGTTTTCATTTTTTACATTACAACAGTTTACATTTTTTGCTACAAATTTGATCCGTTTTTGTGAAATATGGAGGTAACGAAACGAAAATGAAAGCATAAAAGCACAGGTTTTATAATTTAAAAGTAGAATGATTTTGTACATATTTTTATGTACTGAATTTCAATTTTGCTTAGAAAACAAATACATAAGGAAACATTGATTTTTGCTATATTTACGAAAATATTTCAATGTTAGAAATTTTTTTTCAATATTGTTTTTAATGATATAGTATTTATTAAATTTTCTGTGTTAGACCCAATTAAATTTTTAATCTAAGACAACTTTCTTTTGATAAATATACTACTTTAATCGGCGTTCATAGTGTTGAGAACTTTTTGTTGAAAACTTTTCCTCTAAACTTTAAAAATTTTCTGAATTATAAAGAAGAAACAATTTATGGAACTCTACCATCAGATTTTTACTATATTTTCGTAGTTAATACATACAGTTTATTTATATTAGCAAATAAGTTCTTTTTCGGGTGTGAAATAATTAATTAATTCTTAAAATTAAGAATTTTAAGTTTTTCTAAATTTCTTAAATTTATAAAATTCGAATTCGAAATTTTACAATTTCGAATTTCGTAATTCTTAAAATTTGAATCCGATATTTTGCAATTTCGAATTTCTTAATTCCTAAAATTCGAATCCGAAATTTTTCAATTTTTACTTTCTTAATTCTTAAAATTCAAATCCGAAATTTTGCAATTTCGAATTTCTTAATTCCTAAAATTCGAATCCGAAATTTTGCAATTTCGAATTTCTTAATTCCTAAAATTTGTATCCGAAATTTTGAAAAATTTCGCGATTTTTTGGACACCCCTTAGAACATAATGTAGGATACACCTATGAAACGAAATTTTGTATGTATTATTATCGTTCCACAAATCGTATTAATATATATATATGAATTGATATTAAAGATATTAATATTATAGATTAATATCAGAAAATTCTACTTAAATTTAATTTTTACAAAATTATAATACACTTGATTATACATAAGAAACATTTTATCGACAATGTAGACAGATATTTTGATTACGATACTTTTATAAATAATTGCAATAATAAAATATATATAGCAATGCTGTAATAATATTATAATATATTATCGTATTACAATATAATATAATTACTTTGATTTTATCATAATTTTTATTATGATTACCATGATTTTATCATAATTTTTATTATAATTACTGTGATTTTGTCATAATCTTTATTATAATTACTATGCCATTGAGATATATGTTACATACCTGTGGGGAAGAATGTGGAATATAATATAGAATATAACACCTATGAAAGATCATTTTGTCCGCATTATTGTCGTTTTATGAGGCGTCAGGAGGAGGCTGGCGACTATCTATAAATATAGCTTACATACCAACGCGTCCAGAGACATAGTTAAGAAGCCGTATCAAAAGACTCAACATCAATAAATTTGCGATTCCAAAATAAATATCGGGGTCACGGTGAAATTTTTAAAACAAGGTAGAACGTGCAAGCTATTTTAGCAAAATGTAACAAGTAACGCGAGGTGGATCAGCGAAAATAAATTAGAAAAGGTCACATAGAGATTGCACTTGATTGCAAATTAGAAATTTCATCTTGAACGTAATTTCGTATTTAACAATATTCTTACTATGATTTTCTTTATCCTTTATTAGCAATCATTTATGTTATTATCCAGTTTTACTTTACGTACATACAATTTCTAATTCTTTTTAACTAAAACACGAAGAAGTACCATTTTGTGATTACCTACTATAAATTTATTTAAACGACATTTATAGGTTAGTTCAAAAAAGGATAAAGTATAAGTTATTTTTTGAAAATGCTTTTCAAAAATTGCGATAAAATTTTGTAACGAGTATTTGTGACATACCATTTTATTTAAAGGATATTTATAGGTTAGGTCAGGAAATGTTAAGGTATAAGTTATTTTTTAAAAAGTTTTTCAAAGTTTTCAATCAAATTTTATAATCATTATTTTTCACATTTTTCAGCGAGGTAGTGGACATCGACATAGAAGACAACGGGGATGGCACTGTGAATATTTACTATACCGTGGCTGATGCTGGTGACTATACCCTCAGCATCAAATTCGGTGGACAACCGATACCAGAGGGATTCTACACGTTCACAGTGAGTCACTGTTTGTTCTTTCTTTTCTTTCCTTTACCATTTCTTCTAATTCATAAATTTTTGTTATTTCATTAAAAATCTGAAAATTCTTTTATTTTTAAAAATTATAATTTTAACATTAACCCAAACCACGACTTAAATGACTATATTTTAACTTTTCATTTAAAATTCTGCATTCAGTGTTATTACTTTGGTCACTTGCTTAAGTGATTTGTCTTTTGGAGTACATATAATCAATTTTTCAATATTTCCTCTTGTTCCATTTTTTTTAAAGATTCTTCTTCTTTCCTTTTTTCATTCATCGGTCATTTCACGGATCGTGATAAGTTTATTGTTTATATCAATTTTTTAAAATATTAATTTAGATTTTTTGTAATATTGCAAAGAATCACGTGTGCTTGTATATTTAGAATTACTGAAAGTTAATATTTCTGCTTGATAATGGTACTTTTTTTTCTTTATTTAACATTTTTTTTTACTAATTGTTTTACAATTTTAACTAAAATATGGATATCAGTTTTGTTTATTTATTATTATTGTATAATGAATCACATATTTCTTTATATTTAAAATTATTAGAAACTTAAATATAATTTTTTCAGTTATAATTTTTAAAACTGAGATTAATATTTAATGTTTTTTAACAAAATCCAGGTATCTTTTTTCTTCATTTAATGTAAATTGTAAAATATCACGAATTTTAGTATGTTTAAAATTATTGCAAAAATGAATATCTTTACTTAATAATGGCACTTATTTTGCTTTCTTTACAATTTCTTCTAATTATTTAATCTTTCCTATTTTTATTAATTAAGTTTATCATTTTACATTGCCAAGGATAAGATGTTTTCGTACATTTAAAATTATCGGGAAAATAAAATCTCTAATTTAAGAATGACATTTATTCCAATTCGCAATATTATTACGAATAATAACGTCTAAATCACGAAATGAAAATATATGGAAAAAATTATTTCACACCTTAAACAAGACATGAACAGGAAGTATACCTGCAAAAAAGAAAAAGAAATAATATAATAATTTTATCGTACTATATTACTATTAATAAATAGATTTTTAGAAGAAAAGAAAAATTTTGTTATTATAATTTAACTATAAATTATTTTGTAGAAACAAGGTCACATAGAAAACTATATGATACTCTGATAAAATGGCATCACCGTGTTTACTTATATAAAGAATTATGGATTAGAAATTATTTAATCCTTAAAGGTCAGAATAAGTCAAATTTCATCCAATTCTGTTTGAATCTTATCAAAAATCAGAACCACTAGCAATGCTAATTTTATTAATATTAATTAACTATATCGTCAGCAATAATACTATTGTAAAAATATCAATTTTTCTACGTATTTTGTCATACAAAAATTTATTCTCAATTGAATATGATATTTATCATAACTTTTAAAGATTATACTATATTTTATACTCTTTTTGTTATCAAAGAAACTCTAATTTTATGAGTAGTAATTAACTTTATCATCAGCAACAATATTATTCTAAAAAATATCAATTCTTCCACGTATTTTGTCATATAAAAATTTATTCTCAATATAAAATTATATTTATCATAATTTATCATAAAGATTATACAATATTTTTGTTATCACTATTTTTATTATCAAAGAAACTCTAATTTTAAGTCTTTTCATCTAGTGCATAAAGAGATTTTGACCAACGATGAAATCTAAAAATTTCTATAAACACCGGGATCACGGTAATCCTCGTAATCCAAAATTATTGCACGAAATCAAATAAATTTATGTAGTATCTCACGATTTTCATCCGATGTGCTTAGAAACAGATCAACAGATCATGTTCGTGTATTCTATCTTTAGAGTGTTTTGAAATTTACTTTGTGCCTGGTACAATCCCGTTTTATCGCTTCACACAACCGAGGTAGTGAAAGTAGAACTGAAGCTTAGAACGATTGGATCTGATTATGTGAAAATAAACAAATCTGCAACGATAAGTCCGTGGTATACCTAATGTCACTCACCTAATTCGAGAAATCTCTCAAATTTTGGTTTGATCTTAGCTAAGATCAATTAAATCCTATCTGTCCTCTTTGAAGATGTACAAGTAGAAGCATCCATCTCAGATCAGACCTCGATATTTTGAGGGACTTTTAAATTTTAAAATCAGTTTTATAATAATCTATTTTTCGACTAACACAAATATACGCGAAATGTAAATTATTTGCAATTAAATGATTTATTTGTCACTTCATGAAATAAATTATGTGAAATTTTATTTTACTAAAAATAATTAGTTTCTTTATTATTTTCATGTCATTTATAACTATTTCTATATTAGTTATGTGATTTTTATAATGTTTTTATTAACGCAATTAATATTACAATTATTACTACATTTATTGTTCACTACTTATTATGAATATTATTTCATTTAAGAAATATATTTTATTTACCTAAATACTTCTTTAATTTATTATTTAATTGGTCAGATAACTATATTATTACTTCTTGCTAATGCTGTTAGTATAATTATTATTACACGCACTGTCCAATACTTATTGTGAATAATATATCAGACAAAATTTTTCTGTCAAGATACGAATTTTCTTTTCTCAAATAATTAATTCTTCGATTTATTATTTAACTCACCAAATGAAGGACATCATTTAGATCAAGATCTGATAAAATTATCAGATAATAATTTTCGTTATTCGAAATGATTATTTTTAAATTGCTATTTGAAATAAATTTCGCGCAGATTTGCCACCTACCTAGATTCCAGTTGAAATTTTCGAGAGATTCTCATGGTTCACAGAAATATTCTTTCCCTTCCATTTGCAGGCTTCGACCGACTACTATTTCCTTATATCTCGAGTTTCAAAATCATTGTCAATGATGTTACATCGAACATAGCGAAAAACAAAATTCAGAAATACTTTAATTTTCACACGTGACAAATTTGCAAGCTTTTATACCACGAATACTCACGTGATATTAATTTCGCGCTAAATTACTCAATTCCAAATTTCTCACACTGGATTCGAATTTTTCATTAGACAGCTTTTCCAACGATTTCCGAGTTCCAGTTTGCAGGTCATCCACAGTGACACTCGGCAAATTAAGATTGATAGCGCGCGAATGGTCACTGCTAGATCACAGCCAGTATTTATCCGATTCCTTGCTAAAGACTGTGCATTACCGAGAAGTTTCCTTAATACTGCTAGAAATATTTCAAGGAGTCTGAAATTTTCACCGTGACGATGTCGTCGGAAGCGAGCAATTGTAGTGGTGCGCGAATTCTTCAGCGACTCGCGTATGCAGGTCAGGCCTAAGAAGCACACAGAGCGATGATAGATCGAAGTCTGTCCTGAGCTTTCCGAGCTGTTCGACCGTGTGACCACTTTCTATCTGGGGAACGGTAATTAATCGGCGTGAAATCCGTGCCAGAAGGTGGATCTGGTTCTTTGGAATAGCCGTGCAACAGTTGCATTATGTATCTATCATTAATTTTTTTATGGAAGAGCCCCGACGTTTCTTGCTAAAGGATGGGTGGGGCGGCAGGCATCTAACTATAGAGACAAGATATACTGCAGGATATATTGTCGCCTTTAGTTTAGTCTCCAGTGAAACAGTTCACACCGAGGGTTCATTGGAATAGTGTCTGTCAATTTGACATTACTTCGTATCCTTATCCTACGTGGGCTTTCTAACCTTCCATGCGAGTGCTTTATCGAGAGTAACTGCAGCAGAGCCACATGAAGTGTCACGTACCGAGTTTAATGAAACTTTGTAAGTACTTGTGGAATATCGAAAGAGGGGATCGGTTGTGTATATGCACTTGATGGCAGGTGGTTCAGGGAATGTTTAACCAGCTGGACCAGTGTGTTCGTATCAGACCTGGAGAACAAAATCTATGCTTTTGTTCTATAATGACCAACGCCGTCACTTCTTTCCCATGAAATTTGTGCATTTTTCTTCTCGTGTTTCTGAATTTCGAATTCTACGAAGATTTCATTTAGGTGTGTAACCTGAATAAGAAAATGCAAGAGGACGACGTAGATTCTATGGACTGACAGCGAACTTTTCGTTTGGTCGACATCGGTGCGTAAGACTGGCATTGTCGAGGGTTAAATTATCAATGACAATTAATATATTGCAAAAATTTAATTCCCTCTGCTAAAGTAAACCTTTACACTTCCGTGGCTTTTCCTGACTGATCGTCTCTTGGTGATCGCCTTTTTGCCTTTCTGGCGTTCCCCACCTCGTTATCTTCTGTTTATAATTTGTATATTTGTGCATTGGCTGTATCATTCTCACAGTCCAAACGACAAAGTGAAACAAAGTAATCTTCTGCTCACACTCTTTAGTATACTTGAGCGCTCGGCATCAAGTGCACACTCGCTGCCGGCTGAGCGGAAAGTATAGCAAAATCGGCGCCGCACTCAACGTGTTAATAGCTAATATTTAGATTGAAACGCCGATGCTGCCATTATTCTATCTCACTCGGTCTCGCTACGATCCATAGGTGATCTTTGTCACCGTCTTCGACCAATAGCTGTTACTGCTTCTGATCATAGGAGTGGGGATGTAAACACGCTGTGCCTTCTTCTCGCGGACGCATAGTACTTACATGCACCTTTACTTTATTGCAAGTTTGAAGTACATTAAATGTTTGCTATGATAACCGTGATACCATGATAGAATAAGTATTGTTATTTAGAGTTCAGTGGCCCTGTGACTGTGATCTCTTCGTATACACTCATACATGAAAGTATCCAAACAATTTACATATACTGCTTTTCAAAAATGATATATGCATGTCATACTGAAATATTTGAAACAATAACGAGAAGCAAGAAAGAACTTTCAAGATTATATCAGTAAAATTAGAAAATAGTTTAACTATATGTATAATATTCACAATACATTTATTATAAACATGCAGTATTGGCGAACCACAAAGAATATTGCATAAGTACCATATAGCATTAGTCGAAACATTAATTAAAAAATAAGAAGTCCCAATATAATTTTAATCCATCTTTGCTTGCTTGTAACCGCCTTGAGACGACTTTCCATTTAACTCACTAGCGCCACCACGGTTCATATCTTCGATAAAGGTATTGTAGGTATCATACATATCGTTGAATTATTTTCTAATTTTACTGATACAATGTTAGAACTTCTTTCTCATTGTATACACTATATTGTTTCAAACATTTCAGTTTATTTGACGCCTATCAAAGATTGACACACAGAATAATCAGTAATATCGCTTTCTAATTAATTCATTGGGTCAAAGTGCAAGTGATATAACCCAATTTCATCAATTATAAAGAATTTTTTTTTTGGACTTCTTGTGTCATTAAAATGTATATCTGTTATTAGCTCAGTATAAAGTTCTGATATAATAGTGGACACTAGAGAAATGTTTCGTGCTTACACGTGTATCCTAACCTCACTTTGCCCATCTTTTTCGTATAGGATTCGGTATTGCTGAATAAATGTTTCGATTTTTGCACTTTTATTAACACACCTGTAAGGCATTTTATAATTTTATAATTTTGTTAATATATTTTATTAATTTTAATATGTCGTTAATATTAAACTTATCACGGTCTAAATGATCGTTTTTAAACTTCCAATTAGAAATTCTGCATTTAACTTTATCAATGTTAAGTATGTCACTTGATTTCAAAATTTTACCTTTTTTCATTTTATCGTAATTTGTCGACTACGACTGATCATCTAAATTAGGTCATATGATCCCATATATTCATCGAAACTCCAACTCTCACATATGTGACTCTTCTTTTCTTTGTTTCTGAATTGCAAAAGTAAAAATTGCGAAATATAAATGTTGCTTCAGTTATTATTTATTTTATATCGTTAATAATACGTAATCATTGTAATATCGCAATTACGATTTAATAAAATCATAGAGACGATGAAAAATTCGTGTTATACGGTCTAATGATAAGTAGCTGTGAGGTTGAAGGTGGGTCACTATTAGTCAGTCGTGAAGCTCTTGAACAATCAATTTGCTCTTGAAATATTGGCATTTATCCGAAATGTTATCTCCTCAGCAAATAAACGATCCACATTTTGGCACAAAGTACGGACTAACGTCGTTTAAAGTAATAGCAGAAATTCATGTTTGACACCTCT